AATTAAGGCTGATTTTTCAATAGTCAGATAAATATTATCGGAGGAATCAAAATAGTTCCTGTCACTGTCTTATACAAACATTCTGACGCGACAGCATCATAATTCAGTAGTTTCCAACTAGTCAAATTCAATACTTTTATCCAAATGTCAAAAACGATACTTTACTATGAAATTTGTATGAAATACTGAGTTATGACGTCATAGTTTTGTGCGACAAATATTTATAACTTATTTCTTAAAAAAAATCTAAAATTCAGTGTATCGATCGATCGATCGATGAATAAAAGTATAGTTAATTTTCAGTATTTTATTATATTGAAACGTCGAATTAATTTATATTTGACCTAGGAAACTACCCAATTATTCTCTAGGTAACTTTTATCTAACCATTGAAAAATCAGCCTTTATAGTATATTTTCGTACTAAAACCAACTGTTCGGGAATTGTATAACCGATTTTCAAATTAACAAAATAATACTCTTTTATGTAAGGTGAGGTGGGGTAAGACTAACATACTTTTCTGCCAGACAGTAAAGATTGATTTTCATGGCTAAGTTATTTGACTTACCTCTGAGATAACAAAATAACTGATATCTAAATACTGTAAGCGGTTATAAAACAATGGATATATTTCCGTTAATGCATTCAAAAAGTATATTCTGAATAAATTGTAAAACCGTTAAATCTGATAGTCTTGCCCCACCAATTGGGGTAAGAATAACAGTAATGTATTTGAACTGAAAACGTACACTTATTGGGGTTTCCAAAGAAAAAACGCAAAAGATAAAAGTAATTATACTTAATTTGAACTATATTATAACGGAACAACGTTTATTTTTGCAGCAATTCGCTTATTACACTATTTGGGGCAAGACAAACATACTATCAAAATCAGAGGCGCAGAACCTTTTAAGTGATAGGTATCAATAGTATAATATGCATGAAGCATTACACATAAATTAAAAAGACAAACAGAATTAAATTGAATTATACTCTATTTCAGTATCAAATAAATCCACATAATTAACAAATTACATATTTATAATACTAGACCAGTAGAATTGGCCGTTTCTGGCCCACGGTGGGTAAAAAAAACCTTAACAAAGAACGTCTCAAACACGTCCGCCTCCATCCAACCGTTTTTTGTGGCTGCGTAAACAGTGCCTGGGTAGTCTTCTTTAGAAGTCCACTCATCCCAAAGATTTTTTCCTTTAAATATTATTAGTGGAGAGTTTTATCACCTGCAGCACTGCACCCAAGCAAAACTGTTGTGTTGTCTTTACCAGGTGATGCAATGGTTCTCGTTGAAGCATAAGCTCTCAAGCCTACCACTATAGTTTTACTGGGGTCTTTACTAAAACTGGTTTCATCTAAATTCCAGATGTGTGAGGGTTTATTATGTAGTCCAAGCTCGTCCATAGTATTCTTTAGTAACTCAAAATAAGAGTATACCACCCAAGGATTGCATGCTTTTTTGCGAGAATTTTTCACTGCTTGCGGTTTGTTTACAGCCAAATTGTGTCGTTTTTTGAATCCAAAAACCAATCTTCACCCGGAATGCCGTTTTTAAAAGGATTTTTGATGATATTTTTGTTGACATAATCTCTAACAAGTTCCAAATTTTCTGTTCTCGATAACCCAAAGCCATATTTCTCCATTTCATGTAAGTTTTTTGGCCAATTTTTCAGGAATAACAGTACTTCTCCCTAAAGATTTTGATTTTAACTGCCCTATCTGTCTTACGAAGATGATTTCGTACCATTTTGTCCGTCGTCGTCTGTAAAGAATAAACGATTTTACTTTATCTCTCTTAATATTTCCTACCTAAACGATGGATCATCTTTGTTTTTTTTATCATCATTAGTACCTAGTTACCATCGACCTTTATCTAGTCGAAAAAAAGGGTCCGTACGGATACTTCGAAAGTCACATAGTCGAGTAATGAAATTCGACTGAACGTTCCATAATTTTTGTTCCCGATAACCCAAAGCCATATTTCTCCATTTCATGTAAGTTTTATGCCAATTTTTCTCTCTTCAGGAGTACCAAATGAAACCCAACCCAATGAAAAATATCCTTAACGAAAATGTTGCTTACAACTGACTTGGGGAAAGACTAACATAATGTTTGTCTTACCCCGGGCGAACTGGTAGTCTTCCCCCACTTTGATAGTTGTAGGTTATGTTTTGGTTTGGTAAAATATTAGAAAAAGTCGTATGTTTAATGTTAAAATAATAGAATAACTTAAAAGACAATATTAATAAGATGCTACTTACGTTCAATACTCTTCCATTTAACGTTTTTTTTTACCAAAATTTTGAAGAATTCCGGAAGCTCTGCCAAGTGCAACAAATTTATTTTACAACTGACATTTTCGTTTTGTTATGTTGGCGACATTGATGATCAGAAGTGCCATCTATGTTTTAAATCGAGAACTTTGTCAAGTGAACTGTTTTATCGACATGGCAAATTTAAAAAAAAGGCGGTGGTTTTCGAGATATTTGATAGTGATAGTCATGCCCCGCTGTTAGTGTTACCCCACCTTACCTTATACTAACAAAACGTGAGACATAACCAAATTTATTGACGATAACGACTCACACCCGGTTTCTGAAAGGCTTGTCAACGCTAAAATTAACTAATCTCCGGTTAAATCTCTTGTCAAGTCATCTGATTGGTTGTTGATAATTCAGTCAACCAATCAGATGACTTGACAAGAGACTAAATTGATTTTAACATTGATCGGCTTTTCGGAAACCGGAATTAACTGAGACCAGCGTGTGAGAATAAGAGTCCCGTTGAGACTTCAAACTAGTAGAGTTTTTCTTAATAATTTGACGTAAGCGAATCGTTATTTTCAATAAACATAATACTCATAATAATAAAGAACCTCAAACATCCAACAATTATATAAATAAAAGAAGAAAAACGAACCGACAAATAGGCCAATAAAATTTTACCGCTAATTTGTCCTACAATATCGTACCGATAAATCGACCTACAAAGTACTGTTATTGATAGGCCAAAAAAAATTGCAACCTACAAAAAATCGGACGCTTTTTTTTTTTGGTGTAGTATCCGCATATCAATATAAACACGTTACCTACTATTTTATTAAGGCAATTGGACACCGAATTAATTAGCATCTACTTAATTATGTAATAATTAATTTATTACAAAAATTTAGCATTATATACAGACATTACTTAGTATAAAAATGGACATAACTATTATTATTTTTTATTTTTATCTTAAAAAACAGTCGTTACTTTTCAACTTGGTGATTTATATTTTATATTTTAATAAACGGAAGACATATTGTTTTTGGCCCTATTTTCTTTAAAAATACATCATATGTAAGTACAGTATTAAGGCTATAACGAGTCTAAACTAATATTATAAATGAGAAAGTAACTCTGTCTGTCTGTCTTTTCTTCACGCCTAAACTACTGAACCGATTTCTGTGAAATTTGGTACAGACATAGTTTGGAACTCGAGAATGGACTTAGGATAGTTTTTATACCAAAAAAACTGTGGGAAGTCATTATACCACGCGAACGGAGTCGCGGGCAAAAGCTAGTGTTTATATATATATGAAAAAAAAATTAGCTTTACATACTTTGACCCACCTGAAAATTTCCTTTCCTACTTAAGAAATGTTAAAAAACATATTTTTTTATTTGAAAACAAAATCGTTAACAAAATCACCAAGTGAAAATAATAACTGTAACCAATTTCATTGTTTCTTCGAAAAACTTTAACACAGAAATGAAAACTGAAAATTTTATTTCAAAAATTCTTATACACGAACTTTTAAAATTTCGCGTTTCATATTTACAAGATATAATTACGCGGGTATTAACGGGAAAAATAATAATTTAATCACCTTAGTAGGCTTTTTTTGTGAGGGGAAAATCCTCAAATTACATCTCCTGCCCAGGGTCGGGCGGGAGGGATTGTCAGACTCTTACTGACTAAAAACCCCCTGTTCCTTCTCCTGCTCTAGGCCGAGGTCGCGGTGCGTCATTGCGCTTATCCCGCAACCCCGGCTGAACATCAGCCCTATAGGCCCCGTCTGTGACCTAAGTAGGCTTGACGTTACAGTTACGCTACCAAGGTATTTAAATAATTAGTTTTCGCGTTATTACCCGCGTAATTATATTTTGTAAGTATAATACCATAAAATTTGAAATAGAACATTGTGTTAATATTTTTCAAAAAAAAAACCACAGACATTGTCACGTTTCTATATTTTTAAGAAGAATTCTTAAAAAAAAACGTAAGCATCTTACGTAATTTCGTTATAAAATGTTATTTAATATTACATAGTAACTTATTTTTATTGTAAATCAAATTTACATTGCATAAATTAACTTCTTATAAACATTTATCGCTTAAAGTTTTGCTGTGGTCTATCGATTTAGGTAATACGGTAGTTTCCAACTAGTCAAATTCAATACTTTTATCCAAACGTCAAAAACGATACTTTTCTATGAAATTTGTATGAAATACTGAGCTATGACGTCGTAGTATTTTTGTGTCAAATAGCTTACTTATTTCTTAAAAAATAGCTAAAAAAATCTAAAACTTAGTGTATCGACCGATCGATGAATAAAAGTATAGATATTTTTCAATATTATATTGTATTGAAATATCGAATTAATTTATTTTTGACCTAGGAAACTACCCAATTACATAATTGTAAACAATATAGGCATGTCTTTTTATCAAAAAATTGTATACCTAAAAAAAATGTTTTGCAATAAGATATTTACCTAAATTGATGTTAGCTAACAAACTGAATTTAAATAATCTTTGTATGTATTGTATACGAGCTCTTTAATATAAAAAGACATACCAACATTGTTTACCTTTAGGTAACCTAAATCGATAGACTATATGCGCAAATCGCTGTGCGGAATCAATATTAACAATATTTTTTGCCTATTTCAAAGCCAGAAGCAGATTTGTTATGAAAGAAAATTCTAGAAAATTACAGTAAAAGAATTGGGTGACACCAACCCTTACGATGTCAACAAAAAAAATGAATGCTATATAAACTGACCTGCCTGAAGTACGCTGCGTGTGTTTCCGTCTCTGTCACTCTTTACCCTAATTCCTATGTGCGTCTCGCTCATTCAGTAAAACAGCCAACTTCAGAGAGGTCAACGATAAGTTGGACTAGCGAGTAAAAATATTACAAAAATATTTTTTCATGCAATATAAATTTAATTTTAACTCTTGATTTTGGTATTTATAACAAATTGTATATAACATGTCTAAAAGGTGATAGACAGAGATGCATATATGCATCGTAACACTTTCTCTTTTCATTAGTTTTTATGTGATAAATCGGCAAACGAGCAGACGGATTACCTGATGGTAAGCAACCAAGACACCACTCATGGATATCCGCCACACCAGGAGGAGTTACAAGTGGTTTGCCAGCGTCTTGGAGATTAGGGTATCGGAGATATGGGGAATTGAAAGATTAGGTGTCCGGTAAACCTCATTCCCACGACGAAACACTACATTGAAGATGAGTTCCATGTTATTTATTGAACCGGAGTCTTGTCCAAACTCATCTACTGAGATTTTTTTAATAATATCTTCTGATTTATTTCGTTGCGGGATCCAAGACAGTCATTCATGTCCCTGGGACGCGGTGGAATTCAGTGTTTCGGTGTTTTCATGGTTGTATCTACTGTAGATCTTGGTGCAGGCTTTTGGGAGATCATGAGGAAACCGTCCCGGAAGTTACTCTGGGTAGATTTTGGTGTACTGATGATGATGATGATGATGATGATGACAATTGTGTTATGAATACTATACAAGAGTAACGATACAATTATGTTCCTAATATCACTTGGTGTGAGTCCTATCACGCGTTGCTCAGCAATTCACTGGAAAAAACGAAAATATGTGTTAAAAATGTAATAATAATAATTTTATTTTTATTTTAACGTGAATTTCTGGAGTTGTTTGTGAAAATTGTGAGCTTGAAATAGTAAATCTGAATTAAACAAGCTCTTTTAATCAATGAACAAGAGAAGATAACCACTATTATAAATTATAATTGAAAACTTACTAAAATAGTACCGAAAATAAACCCAATAATATATTCGGCCTAGGAATCGAACCCAAGATCTCTGCCTGAATAACTAAACTCCAACAGCATTGTAATATAGTAACTATTTATTGCGCAACATAACCATTTAGCCAACCCACTCATAAATATAAGCTCCGGTTTAAATTGAAACTGGTAGAGCTACGTTCGAATCGTCATTGACGTGGACATCCGCAACACCAAAGAATTTACGATTGCGTTGCCGGCCTTTTGGGGATAAGGGTTTCGGATATTTAAGGATTAGGAAGGGATAAGGGGAGGGGGAGGGATTGGGCCTCCACTGTCCTCCGCTGTGGTTATTTCATTTTTCAATGATATTATAAGTAAAAATGTGTAGATAGGTTACAAACACTCAGCAAGTGATACATTAAAATGTGGCTAACTAGCCACACTTTTTCATATTTGTCTCTTTTTCACTCGCGATTATTGAATCATGCCATCTCACTTTGACCTTTAAACATACGAATTGTTCATGTGTGTATCAGTGTGTCGTTTTTGAAAATCGAATGTTGTTTATTTAACCTATCTACACCATTTTACTTATAATATCATTGGAGGTCGTGGTATCACTCCGGTCGAGTCTCTCCCACACTTTAAGCCTTACGTTGAACTCGCCGGGCGAGTCTACGACGCTGGATAAAATTGACTGGACTCTCTGGGCGAGTCGGTAGCACTCAATGTGTAATGAGTAATGAGTTTATTAGTAATTAAAAACTTACTTAGTTAATTCTCTTGTGGTCATCGCTCCTGTTAGACCAGACCGCGACCGCGACCGACTCAACTGTGCTCTTCTTTCGGCTGAAAACAAAATAAAATCAACATTAATATTCATAGCGTATAGCATAGAAGACCATTTAACACGATTTGCGAAAAAGGTACCCCTTTTTTGTGTAGGGAAAATCATCAAATGACTTTTCCCGCCCAGGGTATGGCGAGAGAGAGTGTCAGACTCTTATTGACTAAAAACCCCTCCGTTCCTTCTCCTGCTCTGGGCCGAGGTCGCGGTGACTCATTGCGCTTACCCCTCCACCCCGGCTGAACATCAGCCCCGTATCAGCATATGGCCCCGTCTGTGGTGGTCTATTGGCTCTTTGAGGCGCACTCGAAACGCTACGCACCGTACGCTCTGGTCGGGCGGCAAGCTACCCTCGGTTTTTTTTAATAGACAAAAATATTGAAGTGAATGGTATATATATATGTATAATAACATCCATTAAATAGTGGAGAAATTGAGTATCAGCATTACACCGAAGCCGGGGCGGGTCGCTAGTTATATAATAATCTTTGACGTCAACATTATAAATGAAACAATTGGGTAGTTCCCTAGGTCAAAGAATAAATTAATTCGACCTTTCAATACAATAAAATATTGAAAAATAACTATACTTTTATTCATCGATCGATCGATACACTGAGTTTTAGATATTTTTTAGCTAACTTTTAAGAAATAAGTAAGCTATTTGACGCAAAAATACTATGACATCATAACTCAGTGTTTCATACAAACTTCATAGAAAAGTATCGTTTTTAAAAGTATTAAATTTGACTAGTTTTTGACATTTGGATAAAAGTATTGAATTTGACTAGTTGGAAACTACCGTATTATCGTCTCTTTTTGCTTTATTAAATGAATGTAAAACCCACAAGTCTTCTTGGCAGGATGAAATGTAAAAAGTCGACGCCAGCAAAAGCTATAAAAATTCTAACTACTTCTGTGCATATTGCTTGCTCTGTGCACGCTACAAACACTGACCTTGGAGCCTGTGCAGTATTGCATGCACGATCCCTTCGTTCTCGTACAAATCCTCTGTGCGCGTGCATTAATTAAGATTATGAAGATTTTAAAAATACGTATGGAACTAATGTTTGGACACAGTGACTTACAGGCACTTTTGAACGTCAAACAAAGCTTAATTTATTTATTTATTTATTTATTTAAAGGTTCTTCTTAGCTTACAAAATTACATTATTACAACTAAAACAGATACTTGATTCATTACGCCAATTATGAGGAACACGTGAAAAAGTAGAATTATATCACAGAAGTGTTGCCACATTTATAAAGAAAGCAGCTATCTATGTCAGTCGATGATGTTACTGTATAAATTATAGGTACATAATGATATTATACTCTTTGAGTTAACACCTATAATTAAATTCTTTCTTGCTGAGTATTTTTTTTTTTTGTAGTCTTTTCCTGCGAAGCCCTGGCTATTTGCAACACTTAAAGGGATGACCCTTTAATCATCTCACGTAATTAATACACGCCCCCTTAACTTTAGTTAATTACTTAAACATATTTATACTTTTCAAGTTTTTTTCAATTTATGTATTAGTGATCGTAAAACAAAAATATTATTTTTAAAAAGAGTAACGATGGAGTTTCTTGCTTGTTATTCTCCATTCAAATCTACAATTTGGTAAGCACCAGCTTCACTGACGGACAGACTGACAGACTATAATTCTATTTTGACGTTTCAAAAGTACCTATTTATGGTTTAGTTGGAATACATGATATTATTAGTTTTTTCCTTAATAGTAAGTCGTTATCTTCAAGAGATAAAAATCGCTAGAAAAATGACAGAAATATGAGTGAAATAGTGTGTTTTTTCTAGTTGATAGTATTAAATTGTGTTTCTCATACCTCCGGCCACTCGTGGGTTAGCTTTCTTCCTCGGCCGTTCTCTGCTAAACGCTGACCCGCTTTGCAGAGCTTCCATCAAACTGAAACGGAAAAAATTGATTAAAATACTTTATAAATATGTAGCAACATCTATCGCACAACAATAACAGAGGCCCAATCCTTACTCTCCCCCAATCCCTCCTCAATCCCTAAATCTCCAAATCCCTAATCCCTAAAAGGTCGGCAACGCACTCGTAACTCCTCCGTTGCGAGTGTCCATGGGCGGCGCTGATTGCTTACCATCCCGTAATCCGTCTGCTCGTTTGTCGACCTATTACATTAAAAAAAAAAACAACAGCACCAATCACGTGCTTGATTCTACATCGCGGTATAAGAGTTCTCAACCTATTATAACCGATATAAAAATCCCGACAACACCATCGGGCAGTAGCCCACCAGGCACGAACACCTCGTCTGGTCGGAGGATCCTCCCTTTTCAACGGAGGATGAGGAACTTTCCACCCTGTTCTCTCATACCTCTAAAAATATCACGTTTTTAGCCCTCAAAGATAGGCTAGGGATATACACTAGTTAAGTATACAACTTATTTGCAAAATTTTTTGTAAAAATTTTCATATATCTACTATATATATTTACACACGTACACAATATATTTACAGTTTTATATTTCTAATCTGGGTATATAAGTATATGACTGTGATATATATAATAATATAGGAGAGCCATGTTTTTGCCAGTGCTGGACCGGTATGAAACAACCACAGCATTGTGTTTGATCTTGAGTGAGTTTACCACAGACCCAAGTCATTACTCAACTTGCCCTCTCCCTCTTAAATCGCCAATCCCCAAATCTCTAACGAGATACAAAAAACCAGCAACGTAATACTCTTTTAGTGTTGGAATTGTCTAGGAGTGAAACATCAGGTACTCAACATGCCCGTTTGCCAACCAATCTCTTAACAAAAGACATGACACACCCATTTCGAGCATCTACGCCGAGAGAAATTATAAGATGACTATCCCCTCCCCCCCTTTTTATGAAAGGAAAATCATCAAACAATTTTTCCCGCCCAGGGTAAGGCGGTACGGAATGTCAGACTCTTACTGACTAAAAACCCCCCGTTCCTTCTGTTTTAGGCCGAGGTCACGGTACCTCATTGCGCTTACCCCTCCACCCCGGCTGAACATCAGCCCTATAGGGCCCCGTCTGTGGTGGTCTATTGGCTCTTTGAGGCGCGCGCGGAACGCTACGCGCCGTACGCTCGGGTCTGGTTCTGAGTCCGGGCTACCCTTACTAACCCGAGCTTACGAGATAATGTGCGAGTATATTATTTATTTATTAAACTTTATCCACATAAATTTCTATACATAGGCGGACTTAATGCCGTAGGCATTATCTACCAGTCTGACCTTTGGGTGATGCAGAGGTGAGTAAAAACGGTGAGCGCAAGCAGCAAAATTTTTTAAAGATTAAAGACAAAAAATAAGACTCAATGCAATAATATATAAGTTTAAACAAATACAATAACAATATAATATTACATAAACTAATAATACATACAAATTATGTATACAAAAGTATTACCTGTCCATGACGCCGTCCTGCGCATGGTGTATGTCGAGGAGCTGCTGGTACCGATGCGTGCGGTCGCGGCGCTCGCGCTCGGCGGCGGCGCGCGCGCTGCGGGCCCGCGCCGCCCGCGCCGCCGCCTCCCGCGCCGCTGATACCTCGCCGTGCGCCGCCTTACATACCAAACCCGGGATTAATTCATACTTATAGTCACAATTTTAATTCGATTCCTTATTTGACATTTGCTAAAGGAGTCAAGCTTCGGCACGAATGGGTCGGCTCGACCGGAGTGATACCACGGCCTCACAGAATACCTGCATGAAACAACCACAGCGTTGTGTTTCGCCGTGTGAGTGAGGTTACCGGAGGCTCAATCCCGCCCCTTCCCCAATCCCTTTCCGATCCTTATATCCGCAACTCCTATCCCCAAAAGGCCGGCAAGGCACTCGTAACTCCTTTGGTGTTGCGGGTGTCCATGGGCGGTGCCGATTTGTTACCATCAAGTAATCTGTCAACTTGTTTGCAGACTTATACCATAAAAAAACCACTGTCATTTTGTGAAATAATGATACCACATATAACAGTGTAGTGATGAAAACAAAAATCGATAAACAATCAGTGAATCAGTTTCAGGAAGGCATTCAAAAAATTACAGCTACCGAATGGTCTAAATGTACTCATTTAGACCATTCGGTAGCCGTAATTTTTATTTTTGTATAATTTTATTTTTATATAATTGACAATAAATATCACAGACACAATTCATAATAAATGTTACAGAAAGTAACAGCAATAGCGATGACAGCGAAAATTTATAAAATAAATTATTACCATAATAGATCACATTTTTTAATAATTTCGCACACAATTATAAAAGAAAAGTCTCAGATCGTTAATTATTTGACAAAACTAAACTATCGGTTCAGAAATATTTAATTTCCTGATAAACTTGACGAGACTAAATTTATAAACGAGATTAATCGATTCGGAAATATTCCATTTCCATATCGAATAATTTCGCAACGTCACTATTTAGTACTTGTTATAACGTTGCAACACTGAAATTGTCAAATCTGGAATCTAATTACAATTCCGAGTATACATCCTAACATCGGGATTGTGAATATACAGTTACAAGTTTTTCACAGTACGGAGAAAGTTTGAGCATTAATCACCACGCTTGCTCAAGTCTAGTCAGTCAGTAGTCAAGAAATCAAATGACTTCTCCCACCCAGGATCCGGAAAGGAGTGTAAGTGCTACTGATCAATAACATCCCTCTTCCTCCCGCTCCTTCTTCTGCTCTAAACGGAGGTCGCGGTACCTCATGAACACCTTACTGACATTTAACAACTGATCCGACTTCTTACAACTTTTTCCGACTTTTAACAACATTTTCGACTTATACTAATTTACTAATCATCATCATCATCATCATCAGCCTGTTGTCGTCCACTGAGCACGCCACTGAGCTCGATGTTCAGCTCTTCTCATCCAACCACTGCCAGCCACCCTGCGGATGTCGTCAGTCCACCTAGCTGGTGGGCGCCCTACACTACGTTTGCCTAGACGTGGTCTCCACTCTAGAACACGTTTACTCCAGCGGTCATCGGTTCTTCGACAGATATGACCTGCCCTCTGCAACTTCAGTTTGCTAATCCTTTGGGCTATGTCGATAACTTTAGTTCTCTGTCGGATCACCTCGTTTCGAATACGATCCTTCAGAGAGACTCCAAGCATAGCCCTTTCCATAGCTCGCTGCGCGACTTTAAATTGGTGGATCAGTCGCACTGTAAGTGCCCACGTCTCGGCTCCGTATGTCATCACTGGTAGGACGCACTCATTGAAGACTTTTGTCTTCAGGCTTTGCGGTATCTTTGACGAGAATACCCGACTGAGTTTCCTATACGCTGCCCAGCCAAGCTGTATCCTCCTACGAGCCTCCCTACTCCTACTTTACTAATAAAATATTTATACTTACAATAAAGGAATCCTTGAAAGTTTTGATGTCTGAGAAGAATTCCTCTAGAGTGTATTTCTGTGGATCGAACACGTAATACTCAGCTAGTTCTGTGTACAACGCTTCCATTTTCTTAAACATTGAATGTAAGAGGTCGCACTGCCCCCGAGCTTCCGTTGCAAACGACTGCGTACGAGTTTAAAGTTAAGGAAATATTCATTCAAAGAGTTTTATAAAGTAATAAATTTTGTAGCTTCATATTCTTTTCATTTCCTGTGTCGTGGGTGCGTGTACAAACATACAATTACACATACACATCTCACCCAGACCCGGAACAACAATTTATAGGTCACAAAAAGAGTTGTTCCGTTCGGGAATCGAACCCGCGACACGTTGCGCGGCAGCCAGTTGCCCAGCCACCACGCCAACCGTGCAGTCAAAGTATTATTTACTTATGTTTGTGGAGAGAGAACCAGGTTATATTTATATTTATTTAACTATTTTACATTATAAAAACATAGAGGACAAATTTAAAACGTCATAATGCGTACAAAAGTGTGGGAGTGCCAAGCTTCAGCACGAATAAGTCGGCTCGACTGAAGTTCTACCACAGAGTTGTGTTTCGCCGTGTGAGTGAGGTTCCTGGAGGCGCGATCCTTCCCCTTCCCCATCCGGAGCAAACGGATTACCATTGGTAAGCAATCGGCGCCGAACATGGACACCCGCATCACCAAAAGAGTAAGATTATGTTGCCGGCCTTTTAGGGATTAGAGATTTGGAGATTTAGGGATTGGGGGAGTGGAAGGATTGGACCTCCTGTAACCTCACTGACACGGCGAAACATTACACTTTAGTTGTTTCACGCCGGTTTTCAGTGAGGCCGTAGTATCGATCCGGTCGAGCCGACCCATTCGTGCCGAAGCATGGCTCTCCCACACTTATTTATATTATTTTTGCAAAAGGATACACTCATAGACTCGTTGAAGAGGTCATCAGGACACTGAGGCACCCTGGAGTTGTTCAGATCCATCTCCAAAGCCTTGATGTCATTCTCCATCTTCTTAAGAGCTTTCTGGAGATTCTCCATTGATACTCTTGCCGCCCTGTGGAGATATACAAATGAGTTTAATTTAGGTCATGCATAAGGGAGCTGGTCCGAAACCTGGCAAGTACCAATGTGACTTTCTATGATTATTTAGACACCACTGACATGGTGAAGGTACGGTAGGTACGGTGAAGGTAAACATCGTGAGGGAAATCTGGACTTATTATTTCTAACTAGGGGCCCGCCCCCGCTTCGCATGGGTCCAACTATCTCGCTATCAAAGGGTCACTTTTTCCTAATCTTCCCCTCTACTTTTCTAATATTTTCTTTGATAAGAACCTTTTCCTGACAATAACAAACACAACAAAAAATGAATTAGCAAAATTGGTCCAGGCGTTGTTGAGTTATGCGCTTACCAACACATTCTGCGAACCATTTTTATATATAAGATTATAAGTTTGAATTCATCCAACCAGAGATTTCTCGTGTTCCATGGATAGATTGAGAACTAAATACAACTTGTATGACCATCGCTTTAAGACTGCGTTCCGGACATACTCCATCAAATAAGTTTAATTATTTAATGAGAAAAGTTCCTTCACCATTCTGTGATTCGTGTGAGTGTGCCCGAAATGAAAATATCAGGCTCAATATTTTTGGTTCACAAAGGTCAAAAGACATTTGCCAAAGACATTGCAATTCAATTCTTTCTTCTCCAGTGTCTGATGAAGAACAACAATTAATTGTACAAATTAGTGATAAGTAGATCGTAAGCTTAAGGAGCCCGCTTCTCATGCATGAGGGTGTGGGTTCGAAACCTGGCAAGTACCAATATGACTTTTTCCGAGTTATATGTACTTTCTATGATTATTTAGACACCACTGACATACGGTGAAGATAAACATGAGAAAACCTGGACTTATAATTTCTAATTATAAGTTTGAAATCGACAATCGGCCTTGAGCAAGCGTGGTGGTTAATGCTTAAACTTTCTCAATGTGAGAAGAGGCCTTTGCTCAGCAGTGGGCACTTATAGGCTGATGATGATGACGAAGGTCTCACCTGTCTATATGTGGCATTTCCTCTGCGAACGTGAGTACTTCCGGGAACTTGTTCTCGATGGTCTCAACCAAGTAATGTAGTAACGTCTGTTTGTTTTCTAGATCTTTCGTCGCTGTTAACTATAAAAGAAATTATTATTATTATTTTTAACACCTATATGTAATTTTTTTCATGTAAAAGGTCGGCAAACGAGCAGACGTATTACCTGATGGTAAGCAATCAGCGTCGCCCATGGACACCCGCAACGGAGGAGTTACGAGTGCGTTGCCGACCTTTTAGGGATTAGGGATTTGGAGATTTAGGGATTGAGGAGGGCTTAGGGGTGGGGAAGGATTGGGCCTCCGGTAACCTCACTGACACGGCGAAACACAACGCTGTGGTTGTTTCACGCCGGTTTTCTGTGAGGCCGTGGTATCACTCCGGTCGAGCCGACCCATTCGTGCCGAAGCATGGCTCTCCCACACTTCGAATGATGCTCTAACTTAGAACCGACTAAATGATGTAACAAAGAAATGAATTGTGAAACTGATTGAAAAGGAGTAACCTCTGAGTTTCTTGCTCGTTCTTCTCCATAGGAATCTACACTTTGGAACGAGTAAATAGCTTCACTAGAGGACTGACGGACAGACAGACAGCATAAAGTTAAACCTTTAAAATAAATTTTGATTTTTGTTTGATGGTCAAAATTGTGTACTGAGGTCTATTTGAAATAAATGATTTGAACTTGACTTTGACTTTGATTCTTTGATTCGACAGCACGGTCCGCGCGGTGTCTAGGCAACTGGTTGCCGCGCAACGTGTCGCGGGTTCGATTCTCACACGAAACAACTCTTTGTGTGATCCACAAACTGTTGTTTCGGGTCTGGGTGTGATGTGTATGTGAAATTGTATGTTTGTAAACGCACCTACGACACAGGATAAAATCCTAATGTTCCCAATCTATATAGATAAAAGAAAGTCGTGTTAGTTACTCCACTTATAACTCAAGAACGGCTGAACCGATTTAGCTGAAAATTCGTAGGGAGGTAGCTAAGAACTGGGAGAAGGACATAGGATAGGATAGAGTAGGTAGTATAGGTAAGGTAGAGTAGGTAGGGTAGAGTAGGGTAGATAGAATAGGGTAGGTAGTCAAATGACGGGAGCGACGCCGCGGGTAAGAGCTAGTGTTTTTACTAAAAGAAAAAAGAAAAAAAGTTAAGGGTGAGAATGACTAACCTTAGTCAAGAAACTGATTTCAAATCCGTATGCACCAGCGTTGTTAGAGCCGGAGTTCATATAGTTTCCCAATAGAAGCAGGAGCTCAAGTATTTTGGCGAACTTCTCAGACGATTTCACCTCTTCACACGCCGCTGTACCTGATACTATGTCCTGTGAACAATAAAAAATATAAAGTATATATACTAATATTATAAAGAGGTAAAATTTGTAAGTTTGTATGTAGGGGGTAATCTTTGGAACCGCTGATCGGATTGCCAAAATTCTTTCACTGATAGATAGCTACAATGTTCCTGAGTTGTATCCAAACCAGAATTATAAATTCGAAAGTAACTCTGTCTTTCTGTCTGTCTGTCTTTTCTTCACGCCTAAACTACTGAACCGATTTCTGTGAAATTTGGTACAGACATAGTTTGGAACTTTAGAAAGGATATAGCACAGTTGTTATACCAAAAATCTGCAGGAAGTCACTATTCCACGCGAATGAGGGCAAAAGCTAGTTTGATATAAAAATTCACGCTACGATCAAATGGAGCCGAGCAGCGGGTGAAACTGCGCGAGAGTAGCTAGTCTATACTAATATTATAAAGAGGTAAAATTTGTAAGTTTGTATGTAAGGGGTAATCTTTGGAACCGCTGGTCGGATTTCCAAATTTTTTTTACTGATAGTTAGCTACAATGTTCCTGAGTGCTATAGGCTATAAAACATCACGCTACGATCAAATGGAGTTGAGCTGCGGGTGAAATACAAAGGCGTTGATATTTAGTATTGAAGATAGTGGTTTAGTACGTACCGGCTTAACTTCAGAAATGATTTCAGCATAATGCTCTCTGAAGGCGAGACTCCTGAGCCTGGGCACTAGTCGCTTGATGTCAGCGACGGTTGCAGCGAACTGCTCAGCTTCCGTCAACTCTTCACTGTTCACTTTTAATTCCGCTAGCTTCTTCAACTGGTCCGCTGGTGGTAAGTACTGTAATATTTCAAGATTTAACTATAGTACATCATTTTTTATGAGCCCCGTTGCAGCTCGAAACTAGTCGACCATGCTCGAAACATTTACGACACGTCAGCAATGTCATTACAACGTTAGTTCGCCGATGGACACCCGCAACTGAGGAGTTACGAGTGCGTTGCCGACCTTTAAGGGATAAGGGATTTGGAGATTTAGGGATTGAGGAGGGATTGGGGGTGGGGGAGGATTGGGTCTCCGGTAACCTCACTCACAAGGCGAAACACAACGCTGTTGTTGTTTCACGCCGGTATTCTGTGAGGTCGTGGTATCACTCCGGTCATCTTATTTATCTCCGACTTACCTGTATTAACAAATCCAGAACGTTGGCAGTGAGCACGGTGGTATCGCATCGAAGTATGCAGGTTCGAATATGTTCGTAGGACATGTGTTTTAAAGAACCCCCCAGTAGGATGGAGAGGTTCTGGGCCGCTTTGCTGTCTAGCACCTTTAGGTCTTTAACTTTCTTCAGCGTGTGGACCCTGGAACCAAGTCTTTTGGTTTACGGATGTTAGTTTTTCGATGATGTGATGAAGTGAGTGATGAAAATGAAGTATGGTGATGAAAAGTGAAGTTCAAAACTTATTATACTGAATATTTTGTTCAACCATTCCATACCATCCATCCATCGCTGAAAATCAGCGCCGCGAACCCGTCTCGTACGGGGTCGCTGCATTATGCTGAGCGTGGGCCATTTCGCGTGCTTGGACGCATATTTTTCTCCTACCGTCTACTTTTGTGATATTGTTTTTACCTTGCTCAATGTATTTTTATTTTAACTTTATTTTATTATCTTGTTCGTTTTGTGTCTTTTATGTGTCCCAGACGCGAATAAATACTTTTTCTTTCTTTCTTTCTTTCTATACGTTAAAATAAAAATAAATGAAAAGCAAGCAAAACAGCATCAATAAGAAAAAAATAAATGAAAGCGTGATTATCTTCGAATATTTTTATTGAAATGGAAAATTATAAAACTTGTTTTTATGTAGGACACAAAAAAGTCAATCTAAGCTATTTTAAAAATTTCAAGCATTTTAAAAATATCCTAGTTGATGATGAAGTGAGATTTCAAGTTTTATTAGGGGTAGTCCTGAGTATTTCCATTATTTAAGTTGTTCTATGATAGTATGTATGTACTCTTAGTTTGATAGGATCACCTCTGTCTTAAACCTTTTGAAAAATAACAGGTTATAATGCATGAATTGACATGATTTTAGTGTATTAGGCATCCTCTAGTAGTCAGACATTGCTTTAATAGTTGTCTATTGCTCGAATGGTTGTTTGTCTATTCACAAGTCAACCTTCACTGAATGGTTGACTATTGCTTAAATGGTTGACTTTTAGAGAATTATATTGTTTTATGAGAAACTAACGTATATCTTTACTTGTGACAAATATTTATGGTAATTATGTAAATAAATAGCTACTTACTTATCAACAGCATCTTCGCTTTTTTTAGCTACTGGTTTACTCGAGAACTTTAGCGCCAACCCGGACAATATATCCGGAGACGCTAGCTTATCTTCTTGTACCTGTAATGTAAACATACATAATATTTATAAGCTAGTGAACAAAGTCACCATACGCAGAAATTATGAGCATTGATCACCACGCTCGCTCAAGTCTCACTTTCAAACTTATTATTTCCAAATATATCTATCTTTCTATAACCCTTTGACCAGGATCGCTCGTCAATATAATGAAATGGCAAAGAGCAATAACAAACTTTTTGACATATTTAATTACAGCATTAATAAATTCATCTCAGATATAAAAGGCATTCTCCATTGTCGATCTGGTGTGGATTCTTCAGGCCCGGGAAACTGTGCCTGACGGATCTTAACATATCAACCCATATTTTTGTTGAGAGGCACCAGTGTTGACACACGTCACTTTATGTTTTCTAGTTTCTACTTCTTATTTCTTTTTGTCCCTTTTTGAGCTTTTTTAATATTTAAAACTTGTAATTTTGCAGTATGCACATAGTGTTACGTTACTATCTAGATCAAAACCTTTAGTTTTTAAGCTAATAATATTTGATTGTAATGTGTTTTGCGCATGAAATAAATAAAATAAAATAAAATAAGTCAAGGTTTCCAGACGATGTCATCGTTCACCATTATCAGTGATTTTTCAATAAACCAAGAAAATGATATAATTTGAAAAAAAATCGCATTGGTGCTCAGGCTTCTTATGCAAGACCGAAGATACTACGGCCTCACCGAAAGTCAACGTGAAACAAAACTTACGTTGTTTCGCGGTGTAAATTAGATTACAGAGGGCCTACCATAACGTGTTAAGGCGTGAATCTTTCGGGCGAGAAAGAGGGATGGAGCTATACACCTTTTATAGCTCCACTCCCTTTAACACTTCATGGTAGGCCTACTGGAGGCCTATTTCTCCTCCCCTGCTCTTGAAATCCCTAATGACTTACAAAAAGACAGCATACGGCAACGCACTTGTAGTACCTACTTCGGTATTCCGATTATCCATGGGCGGCGCCGATCGCTTACCATCAGGTAATCCGTCTACTCGTTTGCAAAAAATGCCTTATATAACAGACTAATGATTTCCTAATAGACCGGTTTGAAACTGCATCTAGAAGACCAGCGAAATACGTTTGAAATCCCTTACCTTAACCCAGAAGGCCTTCTCCGACATTTTCTGTGGTACTATAGTCTTCCAATTGGCACGTTTCAGTGGACCCTCGACCTCCCACTTCTTCTTAGGCTTTAGTCCATGCGGTAATACATCTGGCACTGGCTGAAACGAAATAAAATTATAAATTTTAAATTTAAAAAGCCCCGATCAAAACAAAAGATCTAATATTCCTTTAAAAGTAATAATCTATAATTAATAGATAGATAAGAAAATTAAGAGCAATTTTCTCTCGATTAAGTTATCAACATTCCCTTTTAGTGCGCTTTCATTTGAGACCCCACACGAGTATATTTGCAGACTTTCGGTTACCCTTCCCACTTACCTCCCCCCCCCCCTAACTTCTAAACGGCTCAACCGATTTCCGTCAAACATGTCTAAGGACACTCGCACGTAATACAAAAAAATTGACATCGCTTCACCCGTTCAGGCTCCAGGATGCCACAAACAGACAGACAGATAGAAAAAAAACACGTTGCCCTACTTTAGGATTTTCTCCTGTGTCGTGGGTGCGGTTAGAAACATACAATTTCACATACAGTATGACACCCAGACCTGGAACAACAATTTGTGGATCACACAAAGAGTAGCCCGTGCGGGAATCGAACCCGCGACACGTTGCACGACACCCAGCCACCGCACCAACCGTGCAGTCTAAATAAACCCGCAACGTCGGCAAAATATGAGCACTATTGAACAAAATCTGTAATGGTCTGTTAACTGTTATTTTCGCTACAATCGCATTAGAAATAAAATACGAAATCTTAGTTACATTAAAATAACTTTACTAGAAACGACATACGGAGATGACGTTTTTTAACGTTTTTTTTTGTGATGTGAATATTAACAGATGACTCCTCACGCCCAGGGTGGGTCGAGAGGGAGTGTTTTGTCAGAAAGAGACTGACAAAAAACACCCCCGTTCTTTCTCTTACTCCTGCTGCCGAGGCCGTGGTGCCTTATTGTGTTAACCCCGCAACCCCGGCTGGACATCAGCCCTATAGGGCCCCGTCTATTAGCTCTAAGGCACGCGCATTGAAAACCATAACGCAGTCAGTTAGATTTCGGACGCCGCCACGGTGCTACCGCGTTACCCATATTGCTAAATTTTGAGTAATTACAAGGGACATCAGTTATTATTAAAGTGGTTTGCAAAAAAAATGTCTTTTTCTTTTTAACACATTCAGTGCCCTCGACGCACCTGTGCGTTCAATACATTAATGTCGAGGGCACACAGAGTAGCGTAAGGAAACGCACATACGCGTCGGGGGCACTGGATGTGTTAAAAAACAGCTCGTTGGCAGAATGATGGGGGAGGATAGTGCCATAAATACACACCATTCTAGGCATAAATCCTCCAGGCGGTGGTGGCGGTCTTGGTCCTCCCATCATCGGTGGAGGTGGTGGCGGGCCGCCCATACCCGGCATCGGTGGCGGCGGTGGCCCACGAGGCCCACCTGGCATTGGAGGCGGTGGTGGTGGGGGTGGACCTCCTCCTGCTGAGGATAGGAGATAAATAAATAAATAAATAAAATATATTTTTTCCATTTCAAATGGGAGGTAGTTTAGGTATATAAGGTGATATGATATATATAATATACAAATATATAATATAAAATATAAATATAAAAGCCTTTATTGTTGATTTTAGTTTACATCAAAAAATTATATCTATATGTGCCTAACTAACTTATTAACTTTATTCGTACTCGTAACTATTTACTACTCGTATCTTAATAAATGTATTATTAATGAAGTAACTGGTATAGTATATATATTGCATTAGGCAAACGGTATACACTCTTCAACTTGTCTTCCGACAAAGGCCTCCTCTAAAGATCTCCATTCTGTTCTATTCTTTGCTGTTCTGATCCATGTTGGACCAGCTATAAATGTTAAGTATTTACATGTGTAATAAAAAGGTAAGGTTAGTAGCAGAAATTAAGAATTAATATCGGATTATAATAACAAAGATTAGGTAGTTCACGTGAATCGTCGGCTGTGTAAAGTGGGACAGCCGTAGTTTTGTCAATAGATGGCGCTAATCTAAACAAGAGGTGGCTGTCAAAACTGTAACGACCAATAGGGTGATACTAGCAACGTTTCTATTGGACAAAAATACTTAAGGTCTACACTAACACCATCTAGTGACAAAAAACGAAATTATAATCAAATAAGTATGTTGCAGTACAACAAGGTTATTAGGTATTAAAACATAAGCCATAATAAAATATAATGTTAAATGGCCCACACTTAACACCATCACCCATAATAAAAACTCACTACAATTCTACCGAATAAATAACTAAAATTATGTCACTCGACAGATGTCACTACTAGCGAATAAGGTCCTAGATACTAAACTTTCTTTGATGAATGATATACTAAACTTTCCTTAAAACAATAAGATTGTGAGAGAAAAAAACAGATACGGAATAAAGAACAATTCTATTCTTTCTTATTATTTCTATTTTCTGTTTTAGTTGCGTAGGTAAGTATAAAATTATTTATCAAAAAAATAGAATTATCTCACTCTAATACACTACAAACTTCTCTTACAGTTTAACTCGAAACTTATCGTGCTACAACGAAAATGTACGAAATTGTCACTACTGAAAAAAATCTAAAAAAAAAACATACAATTAATCCTCTTTTTACAGGATAACGAATTGCAACGTTTAAAAAAATAGCAGCTATTATAGCCGAGCTTGTTATCATATATGGACCTTATTCACATAAACTTAAACGTTGAATTCCCATGTAAAATACAACAACAATTTTATTCCTCAGATAACATTTATCTGACTATTGAAAAATCAGCCCTTGGTTATATACGAATAGCCCGTTTAAGATTAGCTTACACAACCAGAGCAAAATGGATCTTAGACTTTAGTGATAAGTGCTACATTCGTGTGCACTTACCTGAGGGCATAGGTGGCGGTGGTGGGGCGCCAGAACCGACTAGAAAACATACCGAAACCCGTTAGACAGAACATGCTTGAAGATATCATGCTTATATTAAACATGCTGATTAATAATAATAATAAAAACTTATGAAATATGCTTTTTTGTGAGGGAAAAATCATCAAATGACTTCTGCCGCGCAGGGTGAGGCGAGTGTGAGTGTCAGACTCTTTCTGACCAAACCCCCCCGGTTCTAGGCCGAGGTCGCGGTGCCTCATTGCGCTTACCCCGCAACCCCGGCTGAACATCAGTCCTATAGGGCCCCGTCTGTGGTGGTCTATTGGCATTAGGCTAAGACTTCGTTCACGCTCCAATTGGCAGTAAAAAATTTTTCTTAACTGACCCAGGTCTTTTTAATAGGCCATTTTTTTAGCATAATAGTCCGTCTGTCGGTTCGTCATGGAAATCTAGGTTGGCATTCCAGAATGGCAGATTCAAATAGAGAAAATTGGGATGATGATATAAGTGTGGCCCAGACGGAGTTGGCCCAGCCGGGGTTGCGGGGTAAGCACAATGAGGCACCGAGACCGCGGCCCAGAGCAGGAGAAGGGACAGGGGGGTTTTTAGTCAGTAAGAGTCTGACACTCCCTCCCGCCCGGCCATGGGCGGGAGAAGTCATTTGGATTTTCCCGTCACAAAAAAAAAAGACGGAGTTGGCGGGATGAAGTTGATGTCTTCGACGAGGATTGGCCGCAGAAAGCTTTGAGCAGAGATGAGTGGAAGAAGGGTAGGGAGGCCTTTGCCCTGCAGTGGGTCTATAATGGCAGATAATCTGTACTTATAAAGAGGTAAAACTTGTAAGTTTGTAAGTTTGTATGTAGGGGGTAATCTTTGGAACAGCTGGTCGGGATACCAAAATTCTTTCACTGATTGATAGATAGCTACAATGTTCCTGAGTGCTATAGGCTATAAAACATCACGCTATAATCAAATGGAGCCGAACACCGAGTGAAACCGCGCGAGAGTAGCTAGTATATAATAAAATGTGGGAGAGTACCCAATACCTAAATCTCCAAAACCCTTTTATTATGTGATAGGTCGGCAAACGAGCAGACGGATTACCTGATGGTAAGCAATCAGCGCCGCCCATGAACACTTACAACAACGGAGAAGTTACGAGTGCGTTGCCAACCTTTTGGGGATTAGAATTTTGCCAATTCTTGTTTTTTTTTTTTGTTATGTTCGTTATTCTAAGGAGAAGGTTTATAGCAAAGAAAACCTTCGAAAAGTAAAGGCGATATCGGGAATTGACAACCTTTTCGGTGCCGGGGCCATTTGCAACGTATAATTTAAACAAAAAAAAAAGTATAGTGATACAAACCTGACATCGGCATAGGCGGGGGCGGCGGTACACCGGGTCCTAAAACACCACACCAGAAAGAGAAAGGTATAGTCACATGCAGTGTGTGCGAGAGAGACAGAGATTCGTGTTGATAAATGATTGTTTTTATACTTTTATGGGTTTTGTCTGTACATACAATTCGGGTTTTGAGAATCATGTATTAGATTCCGAAAGAAAAACATTTTTTGTGAAAGGAAAATCATCAAATTATCTTCTCCCGCCATTTTTATCAGACTCTTATTGACTAACCCCCCCCCCCCCCCCCCCCCTCCCCGGTCCTTCTCCTGCTTTAATGCCCGGTTCCTATAATTGAGAAACGATCCGTTTTAGTTACGAATAGTAGTTTTATATACGACTCGTAAGCTAAAACCGTTCCTATAACAAACGTCTCGTCGTGCAACTTACTGACGGTTTGTAACTAACGGATGTCGGTAAGCGAATTGTATGGAGATCTATGGTGTCTGTGGTGTTCCTATAAATATTTTAACCGTCAGTAGACGGTCAAGATAACTATTCGTAATGTCATTTGGTCGTAATGCGTATACAACGACGATTCGTTAAATATAGGAACCGGGCATAAGCCGAGGTCGCGGTACCTCATTGCGCTTACCCCGCAACCCCGGCTGAACATCAGCCCTATAGGGCCCCGTCTGTGGTGGTCTATTGGCTCTTTGAGGCGTGCGCGGAACGCAACGCGCCGTACGCTCGGGTCTGGTTCTGGTCGGGCGGCGAGGATTAGGAAGGCCTCATAGTCCAATGAGACTGAGGATGGGACTGATGATGATGATGATGATTCCAGACATAACCCATAACAGTACCGTAATGATAGCATTCCAGTGACTTATATATAAAAATCTGTTAATGTTATAATTTAAAAAAGTTAATAAATATAACATTATTATCATCAATCGGTTCAAGTAATCAACAACGGGCTGATTTTTCAATGGTTAGATAAAAGTTACCTGGGGAATAATTATAATGCTGTCGCGTCAGAATGTTTGTATAAGACAGTGACAGCAACAATTTTATTCCTCAGATAACATTAACCTATCTGACTGTTGAAAAATCAGCTCTTAATGTAAACAATATTGTAAAATTTTATGTAATTGACATTTAGATATTCACCTAAATCGATGTTAGCTAATAAACTGAATTTAAATAATCTTTGTATGTATTTTATAAGAGCTCTTTAATACAAAAAGACATGCCAACATTGTTTACATTATTTTAGTTCATTACCTGAATCGATAAAACTATAAATACTTTTTGTAATATGCTAGACATTGGAAAAATAGCCTATTTTGTGTTTGTCGTCTGTAGCCAATCATAGCTGTCACAAACTGTAGATTTTTACTTTTAAATTTTTTTGTTATAGAAAAATGATTATGATATTTTTATTTAAATTGGAATAAGCCCGCCGCAACCTCCTGTAAGCCAGGATCTACAGTACAGAAAACACCGGAACACTGAAGTCCGCCGCGTCCCAGGGACATGAATGACTGTCTTGGATCCAGCAACGAAATAAATCAGAAGATATTATGTGAGGAGAAGAAAAAACTAAATAGTTTCCACTTCCTACAACACCCGGTTTCTGAAAGGCTTGTCAACGCTAAAATTAACTAATCTCCTGTTAAATCTCTTGTCAAGTCATCTGATAGGTTGTTGATAATTCAGTCAGTCAACCAATCAGATGACTTGACAAGAGATTAAATTGATTTTAACATTGATCGGCCTTTCGGAAACTGGGTGATAATGCAGGGGACAGAATGACTTAGGTCTTAAAGGCACAGAAGAGACTGTACAACTGGGAGAGGCCTAGTCACCAACAAACACAGCGGAAAATTTTGTATTGTAATATTATTGATTTAATAACAAAAAAGTCCCGAAAAACTGCCTTCTGAATTAGACCCTTGTCTACAACATCTATCGAATGTTACCTTATATATTTCTTAAGAAAATTTTATATATATAAGCTTTCCTTGTTATATACAAAGAAAATCTTATAAATATATATGCTTAATACATTTTCAAAATAAATTGATCTTTATAATATTCTCTTAAGAAACTGTAAAAGATTAATCCGATCCCATGTTTAGGTACTTCCAAAATACATAAGGATTTTTAGTATTTTATCTAATAAATGTTTAATGTTATAATCATAATGTAGGCTTGTAACACTTACCTCCGGGCATCGGTGGTGGGGGTGGAGGTGGAGGGCCGCCCGGACTAGTTATTGCCTGTAAACAAATTTTTTTTATTTATTTGCGATTGGTCGGCAATCGAGCAAACGGATTACCTGATGGTAAGCAATCAACGTCGCCCATGGACACCCGCAACGACGGAGGAGTGCGTTGTCCACCTTTTGGGGATTAAGGATTTGGAGATTTTGGGAAAGGGAACGGATTGGGGTAGGGGAAGGATTAGGCCACCGGTAACCTCACTCACTCGGCGAAACACAGTTTTTTGGTTATTTCACGCCGGTTTTCTGTGAGGCCGTGGTATCACTCCGGTCGAGCCGACCCATTCGTGCCGAAGCATGGCTCTCCCACACTTATAATAATATGAAAAAAATGAATAGCTTATCGTGAATTTCGCTATATCGTCTGTAGAATAAAGATAAATAAATATTCGTAATGGCCCGGAGGTTATGGGGCCCGATTATTATTTAGACACCTCTGACATACGGTGAAGGAAAACATCAAAAAGGTCGGCAACGCGCCTATGTCTCCGTAACGTTGTGTGTGTCCATGGGCGGCGCTGATCAATTACCATCAGGTAATCCGTCCGCTCGTTTGCCGACCTATTACATAAAAAGAAATCTCCGGCCACCGTAAGTACTGGTCTGCGGTCGGCGAGTAAGGGTAGCTCGGAGCCCGACCAGAACCAGACCCGAGTGTACGGCGCGTAGCGTTCGTCGCGCGCCTCAAAGAGCCAATAGTAGACCACCACAGACTACAGGTTGCGGGGTAAGCGCAATGAGGCACCGCGACCTCGGCCCAGAGGTTTTTAGTCAGTAAGAGTCTGACACTCTGTCTTGCCTTACCCTTGGCGGGAGAGGTCATTTGAAGTTTTTACTTTTTCCTTGACAAAAAAAATCTTGCTCTTATTTCAGTTGATGGTAGTTTTATGACCCCTTACCTTGGCAATGGCGGCGATGTTATTGTGCGTGACCCCGGCAGGTCCTGTGGCGGGTCCGGCCTTGAGTCTCTCCTCGAGGTGGGCGGCGCGAGCCTCGGCCTCCTGCCTCGCCGCGATGGCCGCCTCCAGCTTAGACTTTAACTCTTCCACTCGCCTCTCTTCTTCAGCGCGAGATTTTTCTGCAAGAATAATTAGGTAGTTTCCTAGGTCAAGAATAAATCAATTCGACGTTTCAATACAATAAAATGTTGAAAATAACTATACTTTTATTCATCGATCGATCGATACATTAAGTTTTAAATTGTTTCAGCAATTTTTTTAAGAAATAAGTAAAATCTCAGTGTTTTTATACAAATTTCATAGAAAAGTATCGTTTTTGACATTTGGATAAGTATTGTATTTAACTAGTTGGAAATTGGAAACTACCGAATCATAACAAACTAGCGGTCGACCGGTGGATGACGATTTTACACAAGATTTTTTTTAATTTTCTCTACGTACAAACATTCTCTGAATAATTTAAGACCAAAATAAGCCAAATCTGTAAAGGCATTGTTGAGCTATAACATTACAACGAAAAGTGGCATTGATTTATATATATATACATATAGATTACTTTTATGAAATTATAGAGACAGTATTTTAAAGTATTGTTGAAAATAAATTTATTGGGTATTGATAAATTAAAAAGAAGATTGTGGGAGAGCCATGCTTCGGCACGAATGGGTCGGCTCGACCGGACCTCACAGGAACCCGGCGTGAAACAACTACAGCGTTGAGTTTTTCCGTGATATTGAGGTGGCCGGAGGCCCAATTCTTTCCCTCCCCGAAGACACAAAGCTGTGGTTGTTTCACGCCGGTTTTCTATGAGGCCGTGTTATCGCTCCGGGCTATCCAACCCATTCGTACCGAAGCATGGCTCTCCCACACTTACCCCCGGTTTCTGAAAGGCTTGTCAACGCTAAAATTAACTAATCTCCTGTTAAATCTCTTGTCAAGTCATCTGATTGGTTGTTGATAATTCGGTCAACCAATCAGATGACTTGACAGGAGATTAAATTGATTTTAACATTGATCGGCCTTTCGGAAACCGGGTGTTAGTGTAGTATACTATACATACCTATAAGGCCATCAATAAGTGGTTGCACATCGATATTGAACCGCTGCGTCGCTCTGAAGTCCGGATCATAGCCGTTCTTGTGTAGAACTATCTGAGTTATACATTCTTCGACTAGCTTGTAGTATGCTGGTCTGAAATTCAATTTTAAGATCTGTTTGTATTTGAATATAGTTCGGAATCGCTTGGCTTTGTTTGGCGCAAATTTCTTGAAGAAGTCAAACAAAGTTGAACAAGAAAACCTTGTCTTAGCATTGTCTCCTGTGTCGTGGATCTGTTCACAAACATACACAAACCATCCAACCCCGAAAATAACAATTTATAGATCACAGTGTTGTTCCGTGCGTGAATCGAACCTGTGTCACGTTGCATAGTAGTCAGTTGCTCAGCCATTGGGTAAGCTGACATAAAGTCACTTTTAGACACATCAAGAAACCTCAAGTCACATCAACATACTTCAACTGACATCAAGTCACACCAAGAGTCAACAAGTCAAATCAAGTCACACCAAGATATAACAAGTGAAATCAAGTCACATTGAGTGAAATCAAGTCACATCAAGTGAAATCAAGTCACGTTATGGGAGAGTCAGTCACTTATCAAGTCAAGTCACTTAACTTAGTTTATTAAAAGACAATTTACAGATAGTATCCTGACCTGATAAGCTCATCATCCCTGATATAAAGCAGATGCTGAAGTATGGAGAGTAAGTATGGCTCGGCTGGAGTGTCCATCACCAAGTTTTTCACCAGCTCGAAGCATTCGTTGACATCATTGAAATCCACACTGAAAGGTAAAAATATTTCTTTATCATCATCATCAGCCTATAAGTGTCCACTGCCGAGCAAAGACATCTTCTCACACGGAGAAGGTTTGAGTATTGTATATACACCACGCTTGCTCAAAGCGGATTGACGATTTAAAACTTATAATAATTAGAAATTACAAGTCCAGGTTTGCTCACGATGTTTACCTTCACCGTATGTCAGTGGTGTCTAAATAATCATAGAAAGTACATATAAGTCGGAAAGGGTCATATTGTTACTTGCCAGGTTTAGAAAGTGTGCCCTCATGCATGAGAAGCGGGTGTCTTAACCTCCGGGCTACCACGATGCTGAGGTCAAAGGTCGACAACGCACTTATAACTTGTCTGGTGTAGTGGGTATCAATCGATGACACTGTAAGCTTACCATCAGGTCCTCTATCTGAGCGTTTTGAGACCACGGAGTAAAAACAAAGAGGAGATGTCATAATGAGATTTCCCTAAGAAACACCGCGTGATATTTTGCGGGGTGAGGGGGGTATTAGACTCCGCCCATTTTTTATTTACCATCTGCCGGTCTATAGCAAAACTACCCTCTCATTCAATTTACTTCGTTTTGTAGTTATGTAACTATTTCACAATAGATGTCACTAAATGCAAAATGCAACAGGGTCGTACTTAGAATTACCGGGGAGTTATTTTTAAATAGCTTTGCGAATCATCTTGATACATATTTTTTTATCGAAATAGTAATACTATTATTGGTGAATAAGGATCATTCTACATTTATCAAAATCATTTTATTGTAACATCTTTTTCATTTATAAGGGGTTATTCCGTTAAGGGCGTAGCCTGAAGAAGAAACTCGTATACTATGCTACCAAGAGGCTGATGCCCTGCTGATAGCTGGTTCTTTGTGATGACGAGTGTTATTATTAGATATGTCATTACTGTACTAATGTGTAACTCGGAACGGCATATGCGTTTAGACTGGTGCCATCTTCAAACATATGATTCAGGGATTCGTCGACGAAATAAAAGACTTCATGTGTATCTTCATAGGTATTGAAGGGAAAAGGCCTCTACGATATAACTACTAGCGGCCCGGTACGTGCTTCACTACTTTTAAGTGTATAATAAAATATAATCAAATATATATTATTATGTTCATTTTATCAAACAAAAAAATGTTTGAAATCGTTTGCTATGTAAAAGTCCAAATGAGTCAAATTATATATTATTGAAAATTAATGGCATTGATATAAATGTTCTTCGGGGCTATTGTCCAATAGTGCGTTCTCTGAACTAATCGTTCCTGCAATTCTGAACAATATTCGGAAAAACACATTCAATCAACTCATCTATAGATTGCGCAATTGTATAAAAAATATTCGGTAAAATGACCAATCCGTCAGTACTGTCGATTAATACTTATTTTGCAATGTTATAAATGCGAAAGTAACTCTGTCTGTCTTTTCTTCACGCCTAAACTACTGAACCTATTTGAGTGAAATTTGTTACAGACAGGAACTCGAGAAAGGATATAGGATAGTTTTTATATCCAAAATCTACAGGAAGTCACTATTCCACGCGAACAAAGTCGCTAAGCTAGTTTCTAATAATTGTTTTGAAAACTCATGGGCAGTTGCGTCATTACGTAGCTGAATACACATTATTACTGAAGTTCAGTGTCAATTTTCGTATATATCTCCAAATAACTGATGACTTCAAACAGGTTTTTCATCAGCAGGAGTTGATCGAGGAATGACAGGCAATGTTTGACAAAAGCCCCCTGACAGCAATTTCAGAGCACCACCAAAAACCCGCGTAAATTTTGCATGGTTTGATTAAATGCTTCTATTGATTTTTTATTCGCCATTGTATGAGTGCATCTCATAAAATAATTGACGTTAGTTGCAAAACTTATGCCATAGCAGAATTTCTCGAAATATTACAAGTTGCACTTAAATCACCTGTACATTCAATAGAAATGCTAATGAAGAGTGTGCGGTCCTACCACCTTCTAATAATGTAGCAGCAATCGTCGTAATAATGCCACTTGATTTGAATTACGTGTTCGCCGGTTTTACCTCAACAATATTTTGGAACATAAAAACACAAAACAATAACTCAACAATATTTTGGAACAATAACGAACATTACATCTAATTAACTCTAGTGGTATGTTAAATGCTATTCCAAAGTTAATAATACTGCCAGATTCTCCATATATAACACATCCTAATTATCTTCACGACTGTCATAGGTACTATTTACTATGAAAAACGAACAAAACCTGATGTGACGACATATTTCGAAATCACGCACTACGATTTAGCACTCACAGCGTGCGGTGAGGTGCGCTAAATTTGAGTGATTCAATTCGCGACTTAAATAAATCAACGATATAAACCTTAAAAAGTAATTGACTCCTAACTACTACCCTGTCTTTATTTATGTTTTACTACTTGACAATAGATGGCAGTCTGTTTATAAAATGATATATTAAAAGTTACATAAATAATATTTTGGCGATTAAAGGATCTTTAGAAATGCATGTCGATCAAATTACTATACCAACGATCATTAAAATATACTAATACTGAACTATGCGTACCTATAAAAATTTTGTTTCTATGATACAAAGTGTCGACATCTAGTGTCGCGTAGATTGATAATTGGAAACGCTGACAATAAGAGACTTTGCTAGAACTATTTTAATAAATGACGAATAAAATAACTTATACAAGAAAAGTGATGCCATCCATAGCACCGTAACGTTTATCATAGTATTTTTTACAAGATAAAACACAAGATTGAATTTTGTTTTCTTCTGTGACGAGTAAAATGAATATTATATCGAAGTTGTGCACAGGACGAACGACCATATTACACTGACGTAAGCCACGCCCACCTTGATGACGTGAGGGCCGACTTGTGTCACAGGGCCGAGTTGTTTAGGCCGTCTCCTCTTTGTTCTTACTCCGTGTTTGAGACATACATATAGTATTTCTTGCAGACTTACAGACGCGTTGTTTGTCTATTGTACTCATGAATATGAGCCCCTACCATCTCTCGAAATTCGACGAGTAATCTTAAACACTTACGTAAGTAAAAGAAACAGATGAGAAGCGAAGAAGTCTGTTGTACTCAAGAATATGAGTCCCAAGCTTGGCTCGAAACTAGGCGAGTTATCTCAAACACTTTCGTAAGTCGAAGTAAAATATGAGACACATTGTCTGTTGACATATAGTTTATCTTTCAGATTTTCAGGCGAGTTGTTTGCCTGCTGACACTAATGAATATAAATCCCTATTGAGCATGAAACAAGACGAGTTATCACGTCAAACAGTTTAAAAGAAAAGAGTAAAATAATAATTACCGGACATCGTCGAATTTGGCTAAGAACTCGTCCTGGTCAGCGGCAGCGTGCGTGTCAAATACATTCATTTGGATTTGACGAGCTCCTTCCGCACCCGACCTTAGCTCGTCTGTGGAGGAGAAAAACAGACAAATATAAAAAAACTCTTGTATACTGATTTCGCGTTTGGTTAAGGATGGGGAGAATCCCCTCTCGAAGGAGGGAGGAGGAAGGTTGCAACCTCACTCTCACGGCGAAATATAAGTCTGTGATTGAAATGATGATCATGAGTAACACCCGGTTTCCGAAAGGCCGATCAATGTTAAAATCAATTTAATCTCTTGTCAAGTCATCTGATTTGTTGACTGAATTATCAACAACCAATCAGATGACTTGACAAGAGATTTAACAGGAGATTAGTTAATTTTAGCGTTGACAAGCCTTTTAGAAACCGGGTGTTAATGATGTAACAAAGAAATGAATTGTGAAACTGATTGCAAAAGAGTACCCATGGAGTTTCTTGCTCGTTCTTCTCCATAGGAATCTACACTTTGGAACGAGCAAATAGCTTCACCGACCGACACTCATAGAGTTAAACCTTTTGATAGGTAAATGTTTTTTTTTTTTGCTTGACGTTCAAAAGCGCCTGTAGTGGTCTATTTCAAATAAATGATTTGTCATTTTCTGTGAGGATGGATTAAAGCCATAACCAGGCCTTATCACGTTGCCTGGTCGAAGGATCCTTTTCCGATCTTAACACTTAGAACGCCATGACGGACAATGCTGTCCGACGCTAGCGGAGGGTTAGCCGTTAACAGTTTTTGTCGGCAGTCAAATGCTTAAAGAACTTTACTCTGTTTTAGTTAAAAGCTTTCTCAAACAATGATTGAAAAAATCTGCTTGAAAAAATTTTGAGACAATATCGCTTCTTTAAGATCCTGTAGTGAACATCAGACAAGTTAGATACATGATCATAACTATTCTATTTTTATGGGAGAAGCCAAAGCCAGGATCTACAGTAGATACAACCATGAAAACACCGGAACACTGAAGTCCGGCGCGTCCCAGGAACATGAATGACTGTCTTGGATCCCGCAACGAAATAAATAAAAAGATATTTTTGAGGAGACCTTATATACTGATTTACCAATACAATTTTAAAAAGGTCACTAACTAACTAAGTTAACTCAAAGTAAAATGAACCTTACCGATCAAATCATAGAGTCCAGTTCTCATAAATTCGCTGCGAAGATGTAATCTGAACTCCAACTCTTCAGGTTCAGTGATAATTGCATTCATCAGTTGCATGCAACCAGTCTGAAAGTGTAATGGAAAAATTAAACCTTATTTTCTTTGTTATAGAGTATCTAATGGTAAATGCACTGTCTCTATATAGCTCTACTAGTTCCTCTCGCGCGATTTCACCCGCTGCTCGGCTCCATTTGATTGTAGCGTGATGCTTTATAGCCTATAGCACTCAGGAACATTGTAGCTATCTATCAGTGAAAGAATTTTGGCAATCCGACCAGCGGTTACAAAGATTACCCCCTACATACAAACTTACAAATTTTACCTCTTTATAATATTAGTATAAATATACTTTACTAGCTTCCTGTCCGAGACTTCGTCCGCAAAACTTAACAGATTATACGGCTAAGCGTCCTATCTGTTCTTATCTTTAAAAAACAAACCGCATCAAATTTTGTCACTTAGTTTTAAAGGTCTAAGCATACATGGAGACACACATCGGGAAGCGAATTTGTTTTATACTATGGAGTGATTTTACACCAATTTAATACATAATACATTCGATAAAAATGTAGTTGGAAAAAGGAACAATATTCTCCATTGTTCTTTTTTAATAGGAAATTAATTAGTAGTAAGTTATAAGTTAATCTCAAATCTTAATAGACTTAAAACAATCTAGGAATCAAGGTCGAACAAACAATTTATTGACCATTAAGACAATATTTAAACCAAGTTACATCAAAATCTTGAGTTTAAGAATAGCTGTAATACAAAATAACTCTCGTAAAGAAATTACAAGTTCCGATGTGACTTGAAACCAGTAGAGCTTTTCTCGAATGGTTCACGTGAATAAGGGCTGATTTTTCAACAGTCGGATATATGTTATCTGAGGAATAAAATTGTTGCTGTCACTGTCTTATACAAACATTCTGACGCGACAGCATCATAATTATTCCCCAGGTAACTTTTATCTGACCATTGAAAAATCTGCCCTAAGCCAAGTTAGTATGGCTCACGATAGCCTTTTAACAAAATTGTTACCTTCAAACTCTCGGGAGTCTTGGTCTCCAGACCCTCGATGATGGGCAGCAGCCGAGGCTTCCGACTCGACTCTCCAGCCATCGTGATCGCTTCCAGAACTTTCTCATGTCCATTTGGGATCAAACATATGGCCGCTAGCACCTGAAAATGTGCAATTAAAAATATATTATAAAAACAACACCCTTTATATCACGTTTAATCAAGTCACGTGGTGCATTTGTTAAATCAGTCAGTCAGTTTACTATACCGCACATAATCATCTGTGATAAAATGTAATGTATTTCATATTTTTAGTAATTCTTTTCTTGTCGCTTTACTAAATTAAATTATTGTTTAGTAAATATTATAATAACTATAATAAAGGCTATTTTATTTTATTAATTACATGTTAGGTCTGGTCTTTCTTTTTTTTTATTATTTTACATTAAGTCAACTCACATCAACTCAACTCACAAATTTCACGTAAAGTCCACTCACATTATTTCACACAAACTTAACTTTCATCAAGTCAACTCACATCAAATCAAATCCAAATATTTCACGTAAATCCAACTCAAATAAATCTCATATCAAGTCAATTCACATAATTTTACGCCAAACAAAGTGACATTTTATTACAAAAAATCCCTTTACCTTTGCAGCTTCAAGAGCGCAGTGTGGTTTCCTGGCATCTAGACTCCTGGCGAGTACTGGCAACGCCTCCCGGCACTCGAACATGGTCCGTATGCCGACTGTATTGTTGAGGATCGCTGACAGACATCTTATGCATTCGTATTGCACTCGGTCGTAGCGAGAGTCACTGGAATGGTTGGGAATAAGGTCGAATATTACAAATTATAAAATAAAATTATTTTGTGATCAGACGTAGTGCTTTAATTTATGTCGATAGTTTTAATTTTATTTTATTGTTCTGCGAGGGTATATTATTTATTTTCTCTCTTTTAAAATGTCATATGGAACATTGTGGCAATGAGAGTAAGTAAAAGAATTATGGAAATCCGATCAAGTTGCAGTTTTTTATTACGGTTTACAAATTTTACCAATATTAGTACTAATATGGATATAATTAAAATCGTCAGACAGTGGGTAATACACAGTCTTCCAACTTTAGTTTTCAAATAAGCTACCATAAAGTTCTTTGTATGCTACCTAAAGCTTCTAATAAATATGGAATAAGGTCGAAAATTCTTTAAAATCACGCTAAGTATTATGTAGGTTTTTTATTCTTCGGCTTACTCACGTAATAATTTGACGAGATACTCGACTAGTTTCAAGCCATGCTAGAGGCCCATATTCATGAGAAGCATTCCGCGACACGCGACTCGGCGACAGTAGCAGCGCGACAGTCGCCGAGTCGCGTCAAATTATTACGTGAGTAAGCCGAAAACATAATAAATAATTTAGAATGTCTCACGAAAGTTATAATAAAAATTATGTAGGTTACAAAAAATCTACACGAATCTTATTATTATCTGGGATAGCGTTATTAATCTGCTTACCGATAAAATCCACTCCCACTAGCAGCGTGTATTGAAGCAATATTGTAATAAAAATAAAGTATTCACAAAATATAATGTAATATTTTTAAATGAAAATAATTTATTTGCTACCATTTTTAATTCAAAATCAGTGGATCGGACAACCAGGAACGAATCTTATTCCAATTTCTTTTAAGGATATAGCTAGTAGTTGGAGCTCCTGATTTTTCGATCGACTGATGACACACATTATTATAAAATTATTCAAAAACAGTATTAAAACATACAACTTACTTTGTATAACACTGGTTCAGGGTCGTCAGCAAGCTCTCGATGCCTTTGGTCCCAAACTCTTCGATCCAAGAGAGGGGGTTATTTGTCAATGATATTCTAAGGTTTTCCAAACATCCATGGAGTTTACCCACAGAAAGCTCAGGTTGATTGAGGTATGTGACATAATCTGATGGCTTCTCAAACTTGGATCGACCTTCCTGTAACAATTTACAAAGAAAATATCTTAGTACGTGTGTCGCCTGGACAGTCAACCTCGCTACATCCTTGTTGACTGGACATCTACACTACATGAGCTGCTGTTTACATGTGAACATTAGCTCATGACGATACCTAAGTACGTGTGTCGCCTGAACAGTCAACCTCGCTACATCCTTGTTGACTGGACATCTACACTACATGAGCCGCTGTTTTCATGTGAACTATAAAAGATTTAGGTACTAACCTGTGTGTTTACGAACTTATAAGCAACCAGCATCTTCTTCTTCTGATCTCGAGGATATTTTCTTAAGGGTTCCTTCTTCTCTTCATTGAGATTCATGTCCGCCTGAAATTTACAGAAGCAAATTTTAATAAGAAGCATTATAATCTACAAATCTAGCACTGAAGAAAGGTCTTTTACTTTAAGTTGGAAAAAGACTATCTGAAGACACCTTTGAGTGAGTGGAACTTTTTGAACCGCTATACTCCTGTCTTCAGGTAGACGGTTAACTGCTTAACTTCATCACCATCATCACATTCGCCTCAAGTCAGGATACTGCTGAACTAAGGCCTCTCTCCCCAAATGACTTTCAGATCTATCGACATAAGTGACCTTCAGTAGGAGATCTGACCACTTTATGGATGTTCTGCACTGCTCTTACTGGCACATGGTCTCTTTTTTGCCCCATCCGGCATTACTGGCAGATTTGCCTAGGGTTGCAAATCTGCCAGTAATGGCTTTTTTGTGAGGAGGACATCATCAAATGACCTACCCAACCCAGGGCCGGAGGGAGTGTCAGATTCTTACTGATTACACCCCCACTCCTTCTCCTGCTCTGGGCCGAGGTCGCGGTGCCTCATTGCGCTTACCCCGCAACCCCGGCTGAAGTAATGGCTGATACTATGGAAAAGCCAGGGTCACAGGTGCAAGCGCAACAATGTAACGCTGCACCAGCCCGGAGAAGAAGGAACTGGATAGTTTCTGGTCAGTAAGAGTCTATCACTCCCACTTACCCAGGACGAGAGAAGCCATATCTATAGTGCTTTATGGTCGTTTATATGTCCAGTGGCAAATAAATGATTTTTCTTTCTTTCTTTCTTAAGCCACACGACGATTCCCCCCTCCACCTCAAAAATAAAATCCTTTTTCCAGGACTGCAAACGAGTACCTGGACTAACAGATTTTAAACAATCATTGCCGCCCATAGACATAGGCAACAACGGAAGAATTACGAGTGCGTTGCCAACTTTTTGGTGATTAGGTTTTTGGGAGTTTAGGGATTAGGGGAGGGGAAGGATTGGGCCTCCAGTAACCTCACACACACGGCGAAACACAACGTTGTGGTAGTTTTACAGGACGTCTATTCTGTAAGGAACTTACCAGCATCTCCTCAAATCTCCTATGGAGCTGTGCATCATCCAATGCGTCTATCTTGCTTGTGTACTCGGCGGTGGCTGAATTTTCGTCGTCCTCGGCCCTCGGCTCCGTCCCCCGGGGCACGGTATCGTAACCCCGGTCGATTTGGCCACCGCCCTTCTTCGGCCGCCCGAACCATGTATCCAGCTGGAGACAACGAAAATAAATTTTATTTATTTACCGCTTCATTATTCATGCACATCACACATAAATAGGAAAACAGATATGGAAACAGACGTCTATAGTGATAGGAATAAAATACTACTAAGCTAGGGCTGGCAACACTAGCCCAACGCCATTTTTTATGCGCTCTCTAGGTCAGGGCTTTCAGATAAAGAAAACAGTTTCGCGCGCTTTTTACTGTAAAGCCGATTTCTTCAATTATATGTTTATCATTCATTACTATCATTGAGTTTTCATGTAAAAATAGATACTGGATATTCCTATTTGGAATATCTTCCTGCAGTCCTTTGAAAGAAAAAAGATAAGAGACATAAGACACTGTATGATTGTAATTAGTAAAATTGTAACGTCGACGTTAGGTACTTTATACGTACAAACAATTGGGAAATAAGTTTTTTTATGGAGTAATTAAAATTATAACACGATCGATATGGCTAAAAGTTTTCTCTTAGCAATTAACGAATGAATAATTTATTATTGTAAATACTAGCGGCCCGCCCCCGCTTCGCACGGGTCCATCTATCTCGCTATCAAAGGGTCACTTTTTCCCAATTTTTACCCGACTGCCAAAGAAGGAGGGTAATGTTTTTCGAGTGTATGTAAGTATGTATGTATGTCTTTTCCTTTGTGACCTCCTGTAGCCTAAACGGCTTGATGGATTTTGATGTATGAGGTATCGTTAGATTTGTCTTGATTACGGGGGTGTCATAGGATACATTTTATCCTAAAAGTCCCACGGGATAAAGACATAATAATATTTTTTCTAAATTTCCCTTTAAAAAAATATGTATGCGGTATCATTAGATTCATTTCAATCACGGGAGTAACGTTAAATAAAAACAGCTAAAAAGTTATAAATAAAAAAAATATTATTAAAAAAACAAAATACCCGACTGCACACTAAAAAAAGAGTAAAACAAGCCCCACAATACAAATTTACTGAATATAATTTATAAATGTTGATGGAAAGCATCGCAGGCGGGGACCACCTTGACCGCCACCAACGAAAATTCTGCTAAATGGTGCACAACAGAAATGACTATAAATAAGCCTCTGTTGGTCCCCGCCTGCGATGCTTTCCATCAACATTTATAAATTATATTCAGTAAATTTGTATTGTGGGGCTTGTTTTACTCTTTTTTTAGTGTGCAGTCGGGTATTTTGTTTTTTTAATAATATTTTTTTTTTCTCTCTACTTTTCTAATATTTTCTTTGATAAGAACCTTCTCCTTATAATAACGAACATAACAAAAAAAGAATTAGCAAAATTGGTCCAGTCGTTATTGAGTTATGCGCTTACAAACCCATTTCGCGATTCACTTTTATATATGTATAATACTTCTATGTGTGACATGATACACTGTCATGTTTGTCACGTCACGTTACACCACATTTGTCGCGTGACGAAACTTACGACACGTCATACCACAACATGTTAATTTAAATATTATTGTGTTAATGATATCTGAGGATGCAGTACAACCATGCAAACAGACAGTCAAACGATCACAGACATTGCATTATTAATTATATTTTAGTTATTATTAGCGACCCGCCTCTGTTTCGCAGGTTGCAATGCTTATAGCTTCACTAAAAGGACTGACCGACAGACTGACACTTGATATCTTTAAATTTTGTTTGACGTTCAAAAGTGCCTGTAAGGGTCTAATTGAATGCCGGGGTTGCGAGGTAACTGCAATGAGGCACCGCGACCTCGGCCCAGAGCAGGAGAAGGAACAGGGGGGTTTTTAGTCAGTAAGAGTCTGACACTCCCTTCCGCCCGGCCCCGGGCGGGAGAAGTCATTTGATGATTTTCCGGGTCTAATTGAAATAAATTATTTTTAACTTTTGATAGTAAATTTGTCCATTATAATTGTTCCCCTTTAATCACTCTGTCTATTAAAAAAACCGCATCAAAATCCGTCGCATAGTTATAAAATAAGTTTTGAGTGCTCAATGTGCCCAGGATTTGTTGACTTTGCAACCCATCGGATGAGAATGATGAACTTAACAAAAATGAATTGTGAAACTGATTGAAAAAGAGTAACCATTGAGTTTCTTGCTCGTTCTTCTCCATAGGAATCTACACTTTGGAACGAGCAAATAGCTTTATTAAAGGACAGACTGACAGACACAGACACTTTTTGACGTTCAAAAGTGCCTATAGTGATCTATTTGAAATAAATGATTTGGCTTTGCCGGCACGAGTCGCTATTCTAATAATTACCGAAAAAAAAAACAAATAAAAAACCTTAGACAAATACTTACGCAACGTAATTGGCATATTGTTGAAACGGACGCGCATCTACTGTCAAAACTCAAAACGGACGAGCGATTAACAAATCGATTGCGAAATAAAATCGATTCGTAACGAGTACAATTTAGAATCGATTCGTGTGCCCCATAAATGTGACACAATGGACAATGAAATGCTGATGTCCTGTATATGGAAGGTACATTGGCAAGCAGGTCAACCTACACTTTTCTTAATTATTAAGTTTTCAACTTTAAGTGTTTTGATATAAAGTCGACAATCCAATGAGCCATAGGAATAACTTGATGAGCTGGCTAACATACTATTCTATATTTAATTTTATTAAAAATTTTGCATGTAGGTCAAAGGTGTTAGGTGCTTAATAAAGTCTTATTTAGCTAGTTTTAAGGTTTTTTTTGTCACAATTAGAGAATAATAAATTATTATAATATCATATTCATTGAGAGAGATATTTGGCGTAATCATAATTTATGGGTAAATCTCTTTTAAGGGCAAGGCAGACTTTATATTTGAACCTTCGGCAGGTCCAGCTAACTATTATCATGATCGTGCATCACAGGATATTTCATGGTACAAAAGAAAAGTCTCCAATACTTTCTGACCCAACAAACATATTGACATAAAACAGTGGAGAAAGAATATATTGCAAATCGGTCCGGCAGTTTACGAGTTAATTCAATACAATGAAACTAACAAAAAAAAACAAACGTTCGAATATTTCCTCGTTTCAAGTAAGTAAGATTAAAATAAACTGACTCACTTACATTAATATTATATAAATAAACATTATATGTATTTATAACTACGTCAGTTTCAAGGTCATTGCAGCTTGAAGCATGAGTATGTGAGGTCATCGTTTTGTCATCATGATGTTTTATATCTATCTTCTTATATATAAAAATGGATCGCAAAATGTGTTCGTAAGCGCATAACTCAACAACGCCTAGACCAATTTTGCTAATTCTTTTTTTGTTGTGTTTGTTATTGTCAGGAGAAGGTTCTTATCTTGAAAATTGGGAAAAAGTGACCCTTTGATAGCGAGAAAGTTGGAAACGTGCGAAGCGGGGGCGGGCTGCTAGTACTTAATAATGGTCCGCGGCACCGCAAGAGTGGATGTCGATGTTACAATTTTATAAGTTTTTTTTTTATTAATTTTCTCTACATACAAACCTTCTCTGGACTTCCACGAATAATTTAAGACCTAAATTAGCCAAATCGGTAAAAGCATTGTTGAATTACTTATAACATTACAACGAATAGTGGAATTTTATTATATAGATAAGTGACCAGCCCCAGCTCCACACTGGTGCAATGTTGATCAATACTAAATTTCTCCACTATTTAATTGATTTTATTATAAACGATCTAGTGCCGCGCAGTTTTACTTGCTGCTTGGCTTCTATTGGTCGTAGCGTGATGTTTTAATGCCTATAGCACTCGGGAATATTGTAGCTATCTATCAGTGAAAGAATTTTGGAAATCTGTTAATTACCGAAGTAATCGTTGATCTGTTGTAGCATCTAATATGGTTGAAATTAAACCACTTAAGTATGCTTGAACTGCTGGTTCGTATATTTGACCTATGAAATGTGAACTAAGTGATCTATGAATTCGAACCCTAAATACAAAAGAAATTACACACTTATACTATTTGTTGTAACGAAACCATAGCTCGCTTTTAATTGCGGCAACGCCACCTAGTTGCAAAATTTGAACTAAAAATATTTAATATATTTATTATGGTTTCGTTACTTTGTCCTGGGTTTTGGTCTTCAACAAAATCCGACCAGCGGTTCCAAAGATTACCCCTACATAATATTTTTATTATAACTTACAACTTCATTATTTTATACTTAAAAGTAATCTACACAATTTACCTCTTTGTATTATTAGTATAGGTATAAAACTTATTCTTCAAACCATCTATCTATTTCAAAAAACCGCATCAAAATCCGTTGCGCACTTTAAAAGATTTAAGCATACATACGGGATATAGGGACAGAGAAAGCGACTTTGTTCTATGCTATGTAGTAAAGTATCTGAATGCTTGATTAATTAAGAATTCAAACTTACCGAAAATGGCGAAAACACGTATTCACCCATAGTTTTTAAAGCATACATGACTTCAGTGGATCACTGTGGTAATCATATCACTGGCTGACAAGCCAAAACGAACAAAAAAAAAACCTTTATTTATATTCCACAAACTAAACTATATTATAATCATTATAAGAACTGAGAATATAAGAAAATTGTAAGCCTATATAATCCAAACTAATATTATAAATGTGAAAGTAACTCTGTCTGTCTGTCTGTCTTTTCTTCACACCTAAACTACTGAACCTATTTGTGTTACATTTGGCACAGACATAGTTGGGAACTCGAGAAAGGACATAGGATAGTTTTTAAACCAAAAATCTGCAGGAAGTCACTATTCAACGCGAACAAAGTCGCGGGCAAAAGCTAGTATTTTTATATTTGCAGACAAGAACAATACGGTAATTTCCAACTAGTCAAATTCAATACTTTTATCCAAATGTCAAAAAAAGATACATTTCTATGAAATTTGTATGAAAAACTGATGTATGACGTCATAGTATTTTTGCGTCAAATAGCTTACTTATTTCTTAATAATTAGCTACAAAATATCTAAAAGTTAGTGTATCGATCGATCGATGAATAAAAGTATAGCTATTTATTAATATTTTATTGTATTGAAACGTCGAATTAATTTATTTTTGACCTAGGAAACTACCCAATTGTTAAACATTTTTAGTAACCACCTGTACCAAGGAGTTACTTTGAGGCATACTAAACCAGAGCGGCATTTGTTTTTAACCCCCGACGCAAAAAGAGAGGTGTTATAAGTTTGACGTGTCTGTCTGTCTGTCTGTGGCATCATAGCTCCTGATTGAATGAACCGATTTCAATTTAGTTTTTTCTTTTTTGTATTACAGGTGTTTTACGGGCGAGTGTTTTTAGACATATTTAATGAAAATCGATTGAGCTTTTTAAAAGTAATGGGGGTTAAAGTGGGGAAGAAAAACCGAATGTCTGCAAATATGCTCAAGTTTGGTATCAAATGAAAGGTTTATGACTTGTACGTCACAAAAAACAAAAACTTTAATAAGTTTGACGTGTCTGTCTGTGTGTCTGTGGCATCATAGCTCCTGAATGGATGAAACGATTTCGATTAAGGTTTTCTGTATTATATACTTTTTAAAGGTAGGTTATTGTTTTTGAGCCGGGGTTTTTTTTAAAATTTTTAATTTATATTTAATTAAGTATATTGCTTAATCATAATAAAATAAAACAGGTATAGCCATAAAACCTAATATTTGCAAGGTATGATATCATTTTTCCTTGTACAAACACCTTGATATGTCCTCATCTTTATTTCATTGACATAAGGTTCAAAATACATTCAAGAACTTTGGAAGAATGGTATAGCTTGTCTTGCTGTTATATCGATGTCAATTACGGATATCGTCTCTCGATCCCCGAATATACAGGCTGTAAGCCAGTCCAGTGACAGTGGAGCTGTTCTGAAGACAGGCACGCAAGTGTCACTTTGCAATCAGTGCCAATTGTCGAAAGAACAATACCGATCAAAAGAAACATTTGGGTGGGTCGCGCAAATATCCAAACTGTCATAACGTAATCTCAAAAAAAACAACTAAGGCGCAAAATTTTATAACCACCAAATCTACCAAAAAATGACCTTGACAGAAAAATATTATTTTAAAATCAAAACAATAAAAAAACATCCACTGAAATATATGAAAAATAATCTACATTGAAAACTGTACCGTATTCTGTAACACACAAGACTAAAAATCCATCAAAACCTACAATTTTCATTTATTCTCATTTCGAACACAATAAAAATGCACTGTAAACTACACCTTATTGGTACACAATTTAAACTGAAATTCGCAAACTTGGAAACTGTTTGCTAGACACGCGCGATCAGTACAAGAGAGCAACGAGTACTAAAGAAAATTACTTAAAATAATTGTCGGCGACGAATTCTAGTGTTTACATGAAGTTATTTTTAAATTATGTTGTCATTACACAAGTGGAGGTGGCACGGAGGTTAAGGCGCCCGCTTAGCCGGGGTTGCGGGGTAAGCGCAATGAGGCACTGCGACCTCGGCTCAGAGCAGGAGAAGGAACAGGGGGGTTTTTAGTCAGTAAGAGACACTCCCTCCCGCCCGACCCTGGGCGGGAGGGAGTGTCATATGATGATTTTCCCCTCACAAAAAAAAAGGCGCCCGCTTCTCAAGTAGGCTATCGAAACGTTTTCGGTGTAGCAGAGCCATGCTTCGTCACGAATGGGTCGGGCTCGACCGGAGTGAGATCACGGCCTCACAGAAATCCCGCGTAAAAGAACCACAGCGTTGTTTTTCGCCGTGCGAGTGACGTTATCGCAGGTTCTAATCATTCTTCCCTTCAACCAATCCCTAAATCTCCGAAATCTTAACCCCAAAAAGCTGGTACCGAACTTGTAACTCTTCCATGTTGCAATTACCAAAAAAATCTCTATAAAATAGGAATCACTTTTAACCGCCCTCTACTATTTCCCATAACAGTAGGTAGAAAATAAAAATAATTCCTTAAACTCCCCTCTTCCTTCCAAAAACACTGTTTTTTTTACACTGTAATAGGTCGGCAAACGAGCAGACGGATTACCTGATGGTAAGCAATCAGCGACGCCCATCGACAACCGCAACAACAGAGGAGTTACGCGTGCGTTGCTGACGTTTTGGGGAAGGATTGGGCCTAACGTGACCTCACTCATACAGCGAAACACAACGCTGTCTGTGGTTGTTTCACGCCGGTTTTCTATGAGGCTGTGGTATCACTCTCGTCTGGCCGACCCGTTCTTGCCGAAGCATGGCTCTCCCACACTTAAAAACTTAGTAAGCTCGTTTCTTGAACGTTTGAAGATCGCATCGGTTCAGAAATACCATCACCCCATCTTCCTACATTTCTTTGGCATCCTTCACGATAATCTATCTATAAAAATGGATCGCAAAATGTGTTGGTAAGCGCATAACTCAACAACGCCTGAACCAATTTTGACAAATCCTTTTGTTTTGTATTTATTATTGTCAGGAAAAGGTTCTTATGAAAGAAAATATGAGAAAACTAGAGGGGAAGATTAGGAAAAAGTGATCCTTTTATAGCGAGATAGTTGGACCCGTGCGAAGCGGGGGCGCGCCGCTAGTGAAGCCATAAATTCAGGTGACATCATGATATCCACTCCTCAGCATAAACAGAAACAGTCTTGTGTCACTGCCATAAGAATCATTAGAATCTGCATGATCACTGTTCCCTTGTCACCTCTCCAAATACTATTTCTGACGTTGACAAAACTTTGTTTGGACTATTTATAAAGTACGCTTGTTATAAGTATTCTTAAACCTCAATCGTATGTATAAAAATATTTGTGTTTGTTTTGAATAAGCTCGAAAACTATTGGACCGATTAGAAAATTTTCAATTATTGGAAAATCTGCCTTTTAAGGAGTTTCAGTATATTTTTTGGTGGTAAGGCCAATGGATGCAAGTTGCAACTTGTCGTTCGACGTGGAGAGCTAAGGGGGAGGCCTTTGTCCAGCAGTGGACGTTTTCCGGCTGATGATGATGATGATGATGATGAAGGTAATACTAATATTATAAAGAGGTAAAATTTGTAAGTTTGTATGTAGGGGGTAATCTTTGGAACCGCTGGTCGGATTGCCTAAATTGTTTCACTGATATATAGCTACAATGTTCCTGAATGCTATAGGCTATAAAACATCACGCTACGATCAAATGGAGCCGAGCAGCGGTTAAAAACGCGCGAGAGTAGCTAGTTTGTAATAAATAACAAACAAGACCCCATCATTTTTCAAAACATTAACCAAAGCAAAGCTACAAATCTATACTAATATTAAAAAGAGGTAAGTTTGTATGTAGGGGGTAATCTATGGAACCGCTGGTCGGATTGCCAAAATTCTTTCACTGATAGATAGCTACAATGTTCCTGAGTGCTAGGCTATAAAACATCACGCTACGATCAAATGGAGCTGAGCAGCGGTTCAACGCGTGAGAGTAGCTAGTGAATAGTAATTAAACAAAGAATAATGACGATATGTCTACCGTCATCATTGTCACCTTCGTTTTTATAAGTGTCTGTTACTCGAGGTCGTTGACACCGACTATCATAAGACACTAATGGGACTTAATGTATTCTATACGAGTCAAATCAACCATTAAATTGGTCGTATATTTGATATGTATATTAAAACAAATATTTTGAAAAGTTTGTGGTTTTTTATGGTACTAGCAACTGTCACGCGGTTCCTTTTGCTGCTCGGTTCTATTTGATCGTAGCGTGATGTTTTATAGCCTATAGCACTCAGGAACATTGTATCTATCTATCAGTGAAAGAATTTTGGCAATCCGACCAGCGGTTCCAAAGATTACCCACTACATACAAACTTACAAATTTTACCTCTTTATAATATTAGTATAGATGAAAGTATATAATCATTATTTATATTTTATAATCACCTCGCTTCATTCTTTATGTTTACGATCTTCCTTGGCGAGCTGCCAAACCTCCCACTAGTGATGTCATCATTACGACAGCGTGAATCAGTGTAAGCAGTAGCTATGCTTTTTAATGTAATGACGCGGTTAATTGGTATTGGTCAGGAAGAGCTCTTCGATTCTCGGTTTTAGCATTACTCTCATTTTTTATTCAGTTGTCAATATGAGGTAGCCATATTGAAACAATATTTGTGTTGTGATATGTAATCACCACGCTTGCTCAAGACGTAGTGGCGATTTTTTATTTATGTAATAGCTCGGCAAACGAGCACACGGATTACCTGATGGTAAGCAATCAGCGCCGCCCATGGACACTCGCAACGGAGGAGTTACGAGTGCGTTGCCGACCTTTTAGGGATTTGGAGATTGAGGAGGGATTGGGGATTGGGCTTCCGGTAACCTCACTCACACGGCGAAACACAACGCAGTGGTTATTTCACGCCGGTTTTCTGTGAGGCCGTGGTATCACTCCGGTCAAGCCGACCCATTCGTGCCGAAGCATGGCTTTCCCACACTTAAATTTGGTTTGGTGACTAACCTTTTTTATTTATTTTTTTCAGCTGAGAAAAGTGCCTTACGCATACACACATCGCCCGGGGAGACGGTGAGGTTATGTGGGGCTTGCACCGCCAAAAAACTCAGCTTTCGTACCGTCTTCTGTCTTTTGGTAGAAGCCACGAGGACCAGAAACGACTTTCGTGACCTTTT